AGATTTACTCACACGCACGCACACACACACACACACACACACACACACACACACACACACACACACAAACACACACAAACACTGTAAAAAATTTTAAAAACCCACAATCATTCATTGACAGCATAAGTACTTATTTTTGTGTCAACCAGATATGTGTCTCAGATTTAGCTCAGCATACACCCGATGTATAACAAAAACACATACTCATTGATTAACAATATACATACCTATTTTCGTGCCAATCAGACATATTTCTCAGATTTAACCCAGCAAATATTTGATTAATAATAAAAGCCCACACCCTTTAATTAGCAACATATTAAGTACCTACGTGTGTGCTAATCAGATGATATATTTCTAAGGTTTAGCCCAGCACACATTCATATTAACACACACATTAATTAACCACATAAGTATTCATTTTCGTGCCAATCGGGTATATTCTCAGATTTAGCTCAGCACACACTCGACTGGTGATAAAACCACACACCAATTAATTATTTTGGGGTCAACCGAATTTGTGACTAGTATTTTGTCACACACTCCACTGATTCACATAGCTGATTTTCATGTTTTATTGAACTTGGATTTAGCCCAGTTCTAGCATTGTTAACTCTTTATGTACCTGGAAGACACAAAATAATAATAATATAATATGTAATAGAATTATAATTGTCCTTGTTTGTTTTGGTGAGTGTTTTACGGCGCTCACAACTAAATGCATCATATGAGCGCGCGGAGCACATTAATTGAACATTTTCAGTGTGGTAGGAACTCAATTTCAATTTTGCGCGGGTGGCGGCTGAAGCCTACTCTTATCCATTTTTGAACCTTCAGGGGATCTTTAAAAGCGCAAACGACTTGCACTCGGGCCTCCGAGAATTTTTTTCCCCCTTATCCGAGAAGGTTATATGTTAGACATAACAATATGTCCGACCCGCAGCATATCAAAGATAATGTTGCGACACATTTGAACCATCATACATAACTTACAAGCACATTATTTTCACATTTCATTCTGATTTTGAATCACGACGCGGTGGAATCAGGCACTCGTCAATTTTAGGGCATATGTAATTATTGATGTCAACTACAAGCTCTTTAATTTATCTTGCTTTCAATGAAAAAATGCCCATTTATCTTGAACAGAGGTTAGGGGTCGCCAGGTTTCAGAGGTCAAATGAACGAGAAAATGGCCTCCAAAGTTTGGGGATTTTTCAACATTTGAGAGTCCTTGGAAACTGAAAAATTACAGTTCATTGGGACTTAAGAGGACGTTTTCCCGTAAAAATCTTCACAGAAATATTTGTTTTTGAAATGTTTTAAAAAGATGTTGAGCCAAAAATAGATTTAAAATTATCAAAATTATTGCCAAACCAGTGGGAAAAACGCCTTTTTCTTCGATTTCATTATTTTTAGCTGTTTGGTTGGGTTTTTTTCCAAGAGTGACTAAACAACGCATCTTCAAGCACTGTCGCAGAATGCGTATTCTTAAAGAGTTACAAATATGGGTGGCTGGCAGATGCTCTGGTGTGGTTTGCTCCTTCTTCATACATGGATGGCTGGTGCCTCTATAAATAAATCATTGATGGTCTGGTCCTTTTTCCCTATCAAACATCTATCGCTACTATCTCTCCTCCTTTTTGTGTGTTTGTTACTCACTTGTAACACCTCTAATCTTTGTGGCACTCATATTACCTTATTGTAATGATAGTGCCGTAAAACATGTAGTAAAAAATCTTGTTTCTAAAGCAGTGAAAATGCGAGCCATCACTTCACTGTGGAAATTTGTAGTTTGGCACAGAACGTGTTAGCATTGGCAATGCATGCTGTGTGTGTGTGGTGAAAAATCAATAGCGTATTATATTATTGTCTCTGTTTTTAACATCTGTCTACCATGTGGGAGTGAGATTATACGGGAAAGAAGTTCGTGCTAATGTCACAAGCAGAGCTTTAAGCGAGTTGCTCGAGTTGCTCTTGACAGCAGCTTTTGCTTATAATCATACTAATACCACTACTAATAATAATACTAATACTGTATGAAAAGCAACAACAACAAGAACAACAAGAACAGCAAGAACAATAACAACAACAACAACAGCAGCAGCAGCAGCAACTACAACACATCCAACCCTAGCCCTGCAATGTGGGGGTGGTTAAAAATAAAAATGAACATCTGCATCTTAAAAAAAGAACGTTGAGAAACGTTCTACTAGTTGATTCAAATTTTTTTTTAAAGTTATTTCAATTGCTGAACTATGCATAAAGGGTTTGCCCGAATTTACAAGTGTAGCCAGTGCAATGACCGCGACTTTCAACATCGTAATGTGCTTACCAAGGATTGTTATTACTCTGTGATGTGGGAATAATTCCTCTTTCGGATGCCGACACCAGGTTCGGAACATAATGTTATAACTATCTTTATTACAATATCATTATGTGAAATGCACAGGTTTCTTTTTCTTTTTCTAAGGAGCGTGAGTCATAATTTGATGTCCCTTGTGGCCTTCATCTTCAAGAAAACTTGTACTATTCTTAATGAATCTTTTAAAATAATTGTTTTTGTTTTCTTTGTTTATTTGCTTTGTTTGCTTGGTGTTTGTTTGTTTGTTGGTTGGTTAGTTAGTTTGTTTGTTTGTTTTGTTTTGTTTGCTTGTTTTGTTTGTAGTTTGCTGTTGTTGTTTTGTGTTGCTTTTTTGTTTTTATTTTTGGTTTTGGCTTTTGTTGTTGTTTTTTGTGGGGTTTTGTAGCTGTTGTTTTGTTTGGGGTTGGGTTTTTTTTTGGGGGGGTGGGGGTTTGTTGTAGAGGTTTTT